TTAGTAAAAGTACACTTGATTTCTACTCATGGAGTCTTGTGGCCTTCTTTCCTAATTATCTAATGGAGAGGATCTGACAACAGCATTCCATCCCATCACCCAGGGTTTTTTTTAATAGAAGATATTGCTCTGGGGTGAAGTCATAGCTCAAAATGGCAATGTCCATGGTTTTCTACAATATCCATACAAACATCTGCAGTCAGAATTTGTTGGAGAACTATTAGTTCGACAAATCACATCACTGGCTGGAAGTGCTGTCTTCCAAACATGTTTAACTGTAATCCCCATCATCTCCAATCAATACATTTTATGGCCATGTTGACTAAGAGCAGTGGAGGCCACCAGGATAATATCAAGCGAGGAAGATTTTACAGCAGTCTCCCTGTAAAACTAGGTTCAGTTTGAATCAGCAAGAAGTTGTTCAGATTACAATGGTTGTGCCCAGGGGAAGTATATGAACATGGCAGGTCCACTTACCCACAATCATGCCAACTTCACATCTGTGATCCTCATAATAGCAGGAGATCATCGTTGCTACTGTGTCATTGACCATTGCAACAACATCCATCTCAAAGTCCTGCAGTGGGTTGAAAAAAAGCCCCTGTTATCTTTCTAGAAGGACATCTCAAGAAATAACACGCGTGGAATGACCACCTTCACAGAAAGATACCACCAGATAACTCCAAGGATGTTGGATGGCAGAGACACAGTTGGAGGTTGTTGTCTCTTAAATTGGCTAGAGATTGAGATAAACCTCTCTGGGATTTTCCTAACATTCTGCCCAAAACCAAAAGTGGATTTGTCACACCACACTATAAAATAAATGCTATATTCCTTATGTTATGTGTCTTTGGGTTTGAAGGTGGCCATTCTATAAGAATTCTTGCAAATCTGGAATATTGGAAGAGGGAAACAGATTTCCCATCCTTCCTATTTCCCCTCTCCCTTTCCTTCCCTCTCCCTTGTGTTGAAGAATAGGCTATAAACTCCTTGGAGAAGAGATCTATCCTTACTCTAGGAGACGTCATGCATCTGGATTGTTCTGTACCTATAGATAACTGAAACTAATCAGAAAGTAATATAATCAAGAGGTGGGCCTCACCTCCCGTCTCCAAGAAAAGATTACTTCTATCTAAATTGTTCTCCCTTGCTCCTAGGGTCTCTCATTTCTAATGATGGATAAGGACAGAGGTTTCTGTAGTCACCGCCATGATTTTAAGACTTATAATATCAGAAGTTTAACCTTGACATTCCCAATTTAAAAATCTTCATAAATAGCAATATTACAGTCTTCCGCCTGCCATCTGGGGTAGGAAAAGCCTAAATATTCTGCTGCTAAAAGCAAAGCACAACATTGTGTCCATCCAGTTCTTCATCTTATATGACAGTGCCTGAAGGTAGTCTAATCTTAGGGAATACAGGACGGGTTCAGTGATTTCTGTGGCTTCCGTCTCCCACATTTTTCCTGCAGCTCCTTATCGAAACATCTTATTTTAGTTTCACAGTTCTTTAGAGAGCAAGCAGACCAGGGGTGGGTTTCAACCGGTTTGCGGCAGTCCCCGCGAACCGGTTGGTCGGCGAACCCGGAAGTAAGTAACTTCCGGGAACGGCGAAGGGCTCACCCACCCACCCGCGCTCCTTACCGGTCTTTGAAGGCTTCTGCGCTTCCACACAGGCGCATGGCACATACAGCACCTGCNCAGTTAGAACAATTAATCAGTGGAACAGAAGTTGCCTCCAGAAGTTGTGAATGCCCTAACACTGGAAGTCTTTAAGAAGATGTTGGATAACCATTTGTCTGAAATGGTATAGGGTTTCCTGCCTAGACAGGGGGTTGGACAAGAAGACCTCCAAGGTCCCTTCCAATTCTGCCATTGTATTGTATTGTATTCATGCACGCTACATGCACTTGTGCCTACAACACTGCTGATAGAACCAATTTGGGGGTGTGGCAGGCCGAGTTACGACCTACTTGGCCGAACCGGGTTGAAGCGGTAGGAACCCCTCTCTGAGTCATTGTATTTCTATTTGCAGGTCTTTATGTGATATTTTTCCCAGCTCTTACTCTTTTATTCTGCTATCTCTAGATACCTTGATGTTCATTATCCAGACATTTTTGCTTTCTTATCAACAATTGTTAAGTCTGGAATGCTGTGTGTTTGATGATTGTCCGTTTGGGTTCTAAAGTACCAGAGAGCTTGAGTTTCTTTGTCTTTTTTGCGTTCCCACCAGCACTTCTTTGTAGGAAATGGTATTTCATGCTGATAGTCTAATGCACCATTGTTGCTACTTTGTCATGCCATTGTTTGTAGTCAGCCTGTGCCAGGGGTGGGTTTCAACCGGTTCGCGGCGGTCCCTGCGAACCTGTTGGTTGGCGAACCCGGAAGTAAGTAACTTCCGGGTACGGCGAAGGGCCCACCCGCCCGCGCTCCTTACCGGTCTTTGAAGGCTTCTGCGCTTCCACGCAGCCGCATGGCACATACAGCACCTGCGCGAGTCTCCGTGAGCAGCTGGATGGCACATACAGCGCCTGCGCGAGTCTCCGCGAGCAGCTGGAGCATCGCGCAGGTGCTAAGACGCATGCGTGAACTTCGCGCGTGCATGAGGACGCCGCCGGCCCCATTCCAACCGAACCGGTTGGAACGGGATTAGCAACCCACCCCTGGTCTGTGCAGTCCTCTTACAGCAGCTAATTAGCTGGTCCACTGTTTCTTCAGCTTCTTTGCAGAGGAAGCGTTTGCTCTCTGCTGTCTTTGCAAGTATAATCTGTTCCCAATGTGAAGTCACAGCTGCCACTTCTTTAGCTGGTGTTGGCCTTCATGCGCATCAGTTTATTCTCCAAAAGTTGTAATGTATTGGTGTGGTACATGTGGTACACGCTCTACATGGGGCTGCCCTTGAAGAGTGTTCGAAGACTCCAATTAGTCCAGAATGCAGCCGC